GTTGAGTTTGGCGCTTGGTGACTGAGGCAAAGGTGTTGGGAGACTGTGGTTTGTGTTGTTCGGGGGCACTGGTGTTGAATTGAGGGCGTTGGGGGAGAGGAGGGAAATTTTGGCTGGAGGAGATAGGTGCTGGTGGTTCAGGCGTACGTGACGGGAGCTTGGCCCTGATTCCAGCGACAAATTGGAATTTGGGGCATCCTCGGTAGCAGGCAGCACGCTGACCTCCACAATTGCTACATTTGGTGTCGTTTCTTTCTTTGGGGCATTCAGAGACAAGATGTTCGCCAGCACAGCGAACACAACGGGGTTTGGCAGTACAGGCAGATCTGGAGTGGCTGAACCGTTGGCAGTTAAAACACTGGAGAACTGGGGGGCTTGAGAAGTTGGGTTCTTCGACCTTGAGTCCCCTGAACCATATGGTGATGCCGTCTTGGAGGAGTTGGGCAGCTTGATTTGTGTCTGTCAGTGTGATTCTGATGAGTGGCGTGAGGTTTTGTGTTTTGGTCGATTTGATGTGGGAAAAGTTTGTGAATTTTACTTGTCTGAAGTGGAGTTCGTCTTCAATCTCCTTGTTGGTTGTATCCAGTGGAATGCCTCGAAAGATTAGGGTTTTCCTTGGTTCGTTGTCCGTTGGAACGTGAGTGTTGATATAGCAGCCGTTGAAGGCGTCTGAGGGCCATGGTTTAAGGAGCGTGGAGTAGTCCCTTGGATAGTCACATTTAATGACTATGCCTCCTCGGGGGAGTCGACGGACGTTACTGAATGTAATGCTGGGAAATAGGCGACGAAGTTCGGCGGCAACTTGAGGTTGTCTGTAAGAGGCAGGAATTCCCTCGACGATAAAGGCTGGAGGGGGCTTTTTTGCTACTGGTGAGGTGTTGTTCTGCTGAGTTAGATTAGTTGAGGAGCGGCGAGATTGACAGGGTTGAGGTGAGGCTTGTGAGGCAGCAGTGACAGTGGATATTGACGATGTGGATGAATCCGAATCATCGTCCCAGCTCTGTGTAATCCGAACTGCGATGAATCATCGAGTCATCGTGATCGTGAATCATCGTATGGTGCGGTTCGGTTTTTCGTGGCGGTTATTTAGATTTAAAAATAATTATTCCCGAAGGAAATAATTATTAATCTGGGGTGCTCGAAGATTAAGCAATCCTCCTTCACCCCGCTCGTGGTAAAAGGTTACATATCGTTTAGTGGTCAGCGGAGTACTGAGCCGAATGGGCTAAGGATAATTAATTAAACAAAAGAAGGGGGTAATTTTGGATATTACAATATTAGAAAATTAAAATTAAAAAAGGTGAAGCAGAGTAATCTAAGGCTAAACAAAACAAAAAAGGCCGATATCGGACAGATGGTCCTTCAGGGCGGGGGGGATTTAGAAATCCTATGCCGAGAATTTAATGTGGGGGAAACGGGAGTGCCCCGAGAAAACCCACTTTCACTGGTAACGTCTAATCCGTTCCCAGTGCTTTATTATTGAGATGTAAGTAAGTAAAAAGTAATACTTGGCTGCAGAATGTAACGTCCCGCTCTGCAGACGTATTGGTCAATTCAGCCACGAATCTACAGAGTGGAACAGGTTGTAGAAAGTGCGGAAGTGACCACGACTTCCGCACTTGCTACGTAAAAACGTTTGCTTTGGTGGTCGAGGACCCCATCCCCGAGCAAATGGGGCCAGAGGTTAACATCTGCCACGTTTTGAGGAATTTTAGGGTTATTTTTTAGTGTATGTTCTGAGAGAGAGAAAGTCACCATGCCTCCACAAGCGTCGTCGGAAGTATAGTGATTATTATTATTATTCTTATACTTAGAATTCCCTCACTACCCTTAAATAAAAGAGGTAAAAATTAAATTTCTTTAAAGAGCATAGAATACAGTAGAATTTTGCCTAGAAGTAAATTAAAAAAAACAAAGGAAAGTTAGATTTTAGATAGGGAAGCCGAAATGGCGACCCAAAAAAATACGGTCGTACAACGACTAAATTCTGTATTTTTTGAGTTCCCGGAGGGTACCCTACCCCACGAAGTATTAAAAGCTCTATATGAGGAAGTAGATGAAAAAAGTGTTGTGTGTTTGCAAGGGATAGGAGGTAACAGAGCATGCTGTACCTTCACATCCATTGCAGCTACCAACAAAGCCTTGGGAAATGGTTTTTTGAGGTAAACGGGAAAAAAGTTGAAATCGCGCCCGCAGGCAACAATGTCAAATGGTTAACGATCAGAGGTCTCCATCATGAAATCCCTGACGAATGCCTTACTGATGATCCGAGTGAATAAGGTAAGGTATTCGTAGTCACCAGGGACACCTATAAAGACTTCCCTGAAGTATTAAATGGGAATAAAAAGGTGAAAATGGACATGGCTAAGCCTGTCCCAAATTTTGTTCAAGTGTGCCAATGCCGAGGTATGGTAAACTACCCCGGCATGGTCAGACTGTGCGCCAAGTGCAAAGGGACCGGGCACTTGGCTGCAGAATGTACCGTCCGGCTCTGCAGACGTTGTGGTCAATTCAGCCACGAATCTACAGAGTGGAACAGGTTGTAGAAAGTGCGGAAGTGACCACGACTTCCGCACTTGCTACGTAAAAACGTTTGCTTCTGTGTTCGAGGACCCCGTCCCCGAGCAAAAGGGGGCAGAGGTTAACAAATATATATTAATAAATGAAGAAAACCAAGATAAGAAAAAAAGATATACATATATATATACATATAATCAGAAGAAAATAGTAAAACCAGTAGAAGAAAAATAAAAACAAAGTAGAAAAAAAAACAGTAGAAAAACAGACAACCGTCAAAAAGCGAAAATGCAGTAAGCATGGAAGTAGCTTCAGATGTAGATAGTACCAGCTAGTGATTGACGAGATATTGTGAATCGCAAAAAGACTTTGAACTCAGCGAATCATCTTAGTCAAACCACCGGGAAAAAACGGGCCAAGACGCCGTCGTCCACAAAAAATTTTGTAAGGACAAAAATAAAAAAGGGCCTCTGGAACAGAGGCCCAAAGGTGAATGAGGTGTGAGTTAGATATAAGCTTTAGGTGAAATTAAGGTCTACTACACGAACAATAGACAGAACAAAACAAAGTATACACAAATAGAAACCATCCACAATGTCTCTATCCTTGTTAACACTCAAGGGTTTAGAAAGGATAATAAACAAGAATTTGTAAGAGATTATATGAACAGAAAAGAAATAGATATCCTATTCCTACAAAAAACACATATTCACACCCACGAACAAATAAAGAAATTCAAAGATAAGTTTAAACTTCGCTCCTGTTGGAGTTTTGGAAATAATACAAGTTCAGGAACAGGAATAATAATAGGCCCAAAATTCGCTGGAAATATCAAGCATTTTAGACACGATGAATATGACAGAATATGCCTCATCGATGTCGAAATAAATAGTAAAACATTAAGAATTATAAATATATATGCCCCAGACAAAGATACTATAAGAAAACAGTTTTTTAGGAATTTATATAATTATCTGTACTGCACCCATGACATAATAATGGGTGGAGACTTCAATGTAGTTTTAAACACAATCTTGGATAAAAGAAATGGAACTACCACATTAGACGAAACAGCACAATTATTCAAACGTGTAGTAGAAACCTTTAACTTAGTGACACCTGGCGACACCTCAAAGGTCATGAACCCGGGCTTACATACTGGAGTAGTTCCGGGGTGGGGGTCAGGCTTGATAGGTTCTACACCAGCTACGAAACAGTGGCCTGGATGGATCAAACCTGGATAAGTTCCTTAGGGACAAGGGTATTTTATGTTAGCGATCATCACTGTGTATACCTGAAAGTTAAAATACCAAACACAGCCCAGTGGTCAGGTACGTTGGAAACTCAATGTCTTTCTCCTAAATAAAGAACATGTAAAAAAATATATATATTAAAAAATAATAAATAAATCTATGCAAACAAACCACCAGCCCTCTCTGGTGGGAAAACCTCAAAAATATAGCCAAAAATAAATTTAAAGAACACGGAAAACAAGAAGCTAGAAAAAGAAATAGACACCGTAGAAAGAATATTAACTATCCTATTAGGAAATAATGAAAACAATCCAAAATTCATAGAATCAATCCAAATAATCAAAACTGAACTTTAAGATCTATACACTCAAAAAATTCGAAAATTTGAAAATACAAACAGCAATCCAGAAAATAGAAAGTAAAGAAAAATTCATAAGTTTATTCTAGAAACAATTTAAAGAAAACAAACAAAAGACAAACATAAATAGCCTAAAAGATGAAACAGGAACAAGTCAAAACAACCCCAAAATAATGTTAAATATAGCAACAACGTTCTTTACAGAATTATATTCCAAAAAACAAAGACAGAACCAAACGGAACAACATCACAAAGCATAGACTAGCCCTAGAAAACAATCACAGCACATTATTAGACCACCCACCATCAATAAAAGAATGTAAAGAAACAATCAATACAATGAAACCAAATAAAGCTCCCGGAGCCGATGGACTACCAGTAGAGTTTTATAAAACATACTGGGAGATTAGAGAAAACTTCACTTTAAAACAGATGTCTGGATTGACCCACAGGTGTCGATCTTAAGCCCTTTGCTGTATACACTCTTCGTTAACAATCTAACGCAACAAACCACGCCTCACAATACGCCGAAGTTATAGCACTATGGAGCAAAGAAAATTCAAACGGACCTCGACAAAATCACACAGTGGTGCAACAAATGGAGGATAATACTCAATCCCACTAAAACCCAAGCAATTATACTTTTCCGAAGATTAAACAAAATACTTAAGCGTGTCAAGTTAGCTACATCGAACCTCTACAATAACCCGATCTCATTCTCTAAGTCTGCTAAATTCTTAAGTATAACCATAAACCCTAAATTAACTTGGCACACACATTTCAAAGAAATTAGCAAGAAAATTAAAAGTAGAATAGCTTATCTCCACAAGATAAGTCACCACGCCCACGGATGCAGACCACAAATAATAATGTACATTTATAAAACATTTATCAGACTTTTATTAGATTATGGCTCAATGGTTACATGTAATATGAATAACAAACAACTGTTGATTCTACAAAAACTACAAAACAATGTTATACGTCTCGCCTACCGCCTTCCTTACTACACACCAGCGTGCTACGTTGAAAAACACATCTTACTACACACAATACAAGACTGCAGTTGAGGCAGGGAATTTAATGTTAACACAAATAACTAAATCTGCATATATTTAATGAGTATGTGTATGAATATAAATCTGATAAAGATTAACACAATTTCCAATTTAAACTGTTTTAGACTTACAGATAACTTTGTTTTTCAGAATTTGTAGTGCATACTGGAGGGACTTAGACAACTCTGGCACCAAAGTTAGAAAAAAAACAAAAACGAGTTTTACTCTCCATATAAACCACAATGGCAAAACATTAGCTGAAATATATTTTTTTTAAATCACCATTATGTGGAGATTATAATATTTTATTTTAACTTACAGATAACTGAAGTTATTATGTGGGCCAACCATTAATTTGCCAAACATAAATTTTGGGTTAATTTGGTCTCATCAAAAGGATCTGATAAAAGTTCAAGGCTCAACTGAAGCACTTTAACAATTGTAGTTGTTGTTAATGCTTAATTGTTAGCCTTTAAATGTACGTTATATCTAACATTGAAATTCACCCCACTAAGGATGAGGGTGCTAAAAGGAATAAAAGATATTTTAAGACTGAAGCATAAAGTGATTTAATTAATTTGAATTTCAATTCTCATATTTTTTTGCCTCTTTCATCACTCCACACATTACTGTTTACTGGTAAAACTATATAATACCAGCTTTACTAATAGCTTATAGTTATTAATAAAACTTTAAAGCATTTGCTAGCAAAGATATAACTTAATATTGAAGTGTTTTAAACATTATTGCTTAAATATGATTTGATTTTATCAGTTGGATACTGATATTCTATAATATCTGCAAGGTTAATGAATAGTCAAACTGAAATTTTATAAGCAACTCATTTGTATACACCCATTAAACACCCCATTCACAAATGGTTTTAGTAATCACTTTTTAGCACAAAATTATATTTCTGAAACTTGATCATAACGTATATAATCAGAGAAGACATCTTTAATTTAGTTAAACAAATCCTCAAGTTCAAGACAATAGAAAATACAAAAAACAAAAAATATTAACCAAGTATTTATATTTGCTCAGGCTGTGTGCCTAATACAATGAATATCTTTATTTGTAAGTTATCTATTACATGTCAGGAAGATTAAAGCAGATATTGTTTTTCTTTTGCATATATATATATATATATATAGACATTTAAATTTGTGTTAGAATTAAAAGATATCTATAGTAGGTAAATATAGGCTAACAAAACAAGGTTCCAGCACTATCAAGTCAAACAGCAAGGGAGAGAAATTATCTTAAGCATATTATCAGAGCACTATGTAACATTTCTGTAAGGTCTTGAGAGTGTGCTCAAAGGTGTTTTTCTACTATTTTAAAAGAAGTTTATTTATTTTATAGTACTAAAAAGCAAATACTTTTATGTTTCCTCCATTTGAAAAAACAGTAGGTCATACAGCAATGTATTTTCTTCTGTGCAAATAATAACTTTATTGATATACAGTACTAAACCATATAAACATTTAAGGTAAACCATTTGAATATAGATTACCATTATTTATTATTAAAGTATTTTTTTCACCTATTATGGGGGTTATTCCACATTTTCTTCAATTGCAATGTAATGTTATTTTGAAAAATCACCTCAGAAGCCACCTATATATTGTGTTATATCTCTGAACTGTTTTTTAGAAATGAAAGTTCTAATAAAGATAATTTCGATGGAAATTCAAGAGTTGCACAAAATATCAAGTACAAACAATTAGAGACAAACATTTTTTCACTGGTTTACTGTTTAAGAACTCCACATCCAATGTTATTAACATAAAAGTATCTAAAGGTATGCATATTTTTTTCAAAACTTTTTTTTTTTTCCAGTTTCATTGAAATTCACATGAAGACTTCTTACTTGAGCTGTATAAAAAAATAGGACACCTTTATTAGTCATATTTTAAAATAAAAAGAAAATTTATATTTCCTACTAATGTTCTTGATATTTTTAAATATATTGACAGTTCAAAATAAAAGACTACATCAATGCCAAGAACAATAACTATTTAGCCCAGCATTCGTAGATAAAGACAAAACATTGTTCAAAACTCAACTTAGAGGATTGTTTAATCTCAATGAACTCAAGCATAATAGCTAAACAGTTTACAACACTAACTAAAATTATTTGCACAAAGAAAAATAAAACTGTCACCTTTCAAATATTAACTTTTCATGCCAAGGTATTCTAAGTGGTGCTTGATGTGATCTTCAACAAAGGTGGCAATGAAGTAGTAACTGTGGTCATAAGTCTAGAACATTACATATTAATTTCATCATTATAAAAGCAAAATCTTTTAAACCTGACATATAAAAATTGTTTATTTGTTTTATACATAGCTGCTATTTATAAAACCAATTTATTTTTATCAAATGTGTTTAGTTGGAACTGTCATTTGTGCATTTGTTATAGTCAAATAATTCAATCACTATCCTTATTTTTTCTTCTCTTCAAACCTAAAGGCAAGTTTTAAAATCAAGAATCTTTAGAAACAAACATTTTACATATTCTGATTTTTGAGAAGTCATCCTAAAATTTGTATTACCACACTAAACTTGTGGTATTGATACAAATTCAATATACGTACTGAAACTTAGCCAGTGTAGTAAAACATTGGGTACATAATTCTCAAAAAATTCAGAAACTCAGTATTCATTAGTGGAGAGATGTTCAAATTGATTAGGACAAAACAAAAACAAATACATAAATGGTTATTCTTGCTAGCTAGATATAATTTTCATATTTGATAGCTAGTTGACAGTTCACCTCCTGATGACTTGGCAGTAAGTATGAGGGCTTCCAGCATTGAAAATCGGGTTTAGATACTCATGTTGGGCATAGCCCAGATAACTTATTGTATAGTTATAAAACTTACTATAACTGCTTGTATTTTATAAATTCCACAAACTTTTATTACTAAGAGTTAGATAGTCTTTTGCATTTTAAATCCTTTTTGCTGAGATAACTAAGATTTAAAATTAGTTAAGTTATAGTATATATATAGGATAAATATAAATTTTTAATATATTTTGTTTATTAGCTTTTGCAGGACTGATTCTTCAAGTGAAACACTGAACTTAACACCAAAATTCTTTAACTTTTAAAAATTATTCAAATACACTAAAAAAGTTATTTGTTTAAAAGGTGGTTGCAGTAAGAAATGTATCATATCTTACCTCTTGCATTCTCAATATAACAGGCATTTTATTTTCTGTGCAAGCAGCAACAAAGTTGTCAGGAAGAAGCTGCCCTTCCTTCAGAAAATTATCATCTTTTCCCTATCATAAAGAGAAACAAAAACTAATCAACTTTTGTTTACCTACAACCTTATATCACCAAAAATTGTTTAAAAGAAATGTATAACATTAAATAATACAATGTCTAAACTACAAAATCTAAATCTTTCACATAATGTACATATTCAATAAACTGTGAAAACAATTTTATTAATGAACACACATACTATACATTTAATTATTTCTTCAAATAATCAGCCCCTAAAGTTAATTTCCTGGTATTATCTAGCATCTAATTGTAGTATATAACCCTCATGGTATACTGTTAGAAACAAAAAGCTTATTTGAATGTGTGTATTTAATTTAATGGATAACTAAAAGAATTTATTATTATAATATATATTCTCTGTTGTAACATTTGATGTCATTTTTTAAAACTATAATTTTAATTGAAAAATAAGTGTAAGGAAGCAATCAAATTTAACTGTTAAACTAAGCAAAATGCTTTTATTTCTAGGCTTGGAGTTGATGTGTTTGTATGACACAATAATTTGCATTATTAACATCATAGGTAACCAGCTGTTCTCTTTAATTAAGAAAAAACTAGATTTATACAGCTAACTGGTATCTCCATGTTGATGATTAAGATTAATGTTTAATGATTAAATATAATTAACAAATCTTCATATAATGTCGATAATGTTATCACCAAACAGTGGTTAACATATTGCCATTTCTAATTTTAGAATTAACTACGAAGTTATCTCAGAACAAAGAGGACTTTTATTTACTTTGTTGCCATGTGAACATTCTACAAGTTTTTAAAATTTCTCCATGTGACTTGCATGAAGGCTCATCTGTAATGTTTGTGTTAGCACATTGCCCAAATGACTAGCTCCAGGCTGGAAAATAAAGCTGCAAATCACCAGGTAATAGGTCTCATTTTGCTCTTTAGCTTTAATTTAAATCAAGAAATTCACTGAGCTCCAGATGGTCTTCCCTATGGTTTGATATTTGGTCAGGCACACTTTTAGTGTTTTCCGTAAGGAGTAGGTTAGTTACTCTATCTTAAGTCAGGGAGGAAACCCAGATTAGTGTTTCAACTTCTAAAGTTAGAAATAATTTTTAGGACTTTGCTACTAAAGTAGTCAGAGTTTGTTCTAGGTTAAGGGTTTTGGGCCTGCATCTTGCAAAGAAACAGTCTGTATAGCTAAGAATGCATTAATTTCTCTCCTGATAATACACATTTTGTCTGTATAGCTAAGAATGCATTAATTTCTCTCCTGATTAATACACATTTTGTCTGTATAGCTAAAAATGCATTAATTTCTCTCCTGATAATACACATTTTGTCTGTATAGCTAAGAATGCATTAATTTCTCTCCTGATAATACACATTTTGTCTGTATAGCTAAGAATGCATTAATTTATCTCCTGATTAATACACATTTTGTCTGTATAGCTAAAAATGCATCAATTTCTCTCCTGATTAATACACATTTTGCAGACTTTGTCAAGCACTCTTTTGAATTAAAATAATGCAACACACACACACATATATATATATATATATATGTAAAGAAAATATCCTTTGTACATATTCACTAGGTGACCATCAATTAGACATACACAATGTCATAAAGAAATTCATTTTACTGTGTGTGTGGTGGGTGGGGGGGTGCTGTTTTTTCTGTCAAACTGTTGTGAGTGACTGGATGTTCGTATATATTTCTGGTTTATTTATCTTGTATTCATCCGGAATATCACTGAAGTAAAACTGCAAGTTGGTATAAGCATTGTCACAACAGCACTTCTTGGCAAAACAGTTTAATAAATACAGAAGCAGGAACAATATATATTTCTATTAAAGTTTGGCATTTAAAACAGCTAATGAAAGACAATGACACTGACAGTATTTTGCAACTTAATCTTCAATAATTGGCTACAAGAATAGTATTTTACGTACCAAAAACACGTGTTATTGGTTATAGTCATGACTAGATAGTTGTCAAATTAGATATATAGACTTTCAGAAACTAGAGACAACTGGTATGATTATTCAAACAATTAACTTATTTTAATGCTTTCTAAAAATGCCATAAAATTCTAGACAAAGCTTAGTTAAGTAGTGTTTGTTTTATCACATATACTATGGCTTATTCAAAACTAATGTATTGAAAGAAGAAATCTTTAACATCTTTAAATTCTGAATTAAGTATGAAAACCTCATCAGTTAGTTTTGTACCTACACTTAACCCTTTCAGAACAGGTGCCTGCAAATTACAGGAAAGGATACATGTGCAACAATACATATGGTAACTCTGAGCTTTCTTTACATATTCTCACAAAAACAGATAAGATTTTGTGAAATATTACAAGTATTTTGTACACAAAGAATGTGATTATTTTAAGTAAGTCTTTATACTAAAAATACGTTATACATCTATTGTACTTATTTGCACTCAAACTCTGAACAGTTCGAGTGCAAGGTAATTTTCATTTTAAGTATAAAAATACTTTTCTTCATTTACAGTTTTCACATTTACTTTGCATAATCTCTAGAACCTCCTAAATGGATATCAAAAGGTTTTTTTTAATGTCATTGTTCATATTTTATTTTCCATTTTCTATACCATATCACTAACTAGCTATTATCACCAACATACATTGAAATGAAATGTTTTAAAATTAAGAAATAGAAATATGTACATATCTTTTAACTCTTCTTTGGGTCATATGTGTAATTTCACATCCTTATCTTTTCACTTAGTTTATTTTTAATGTTTTATTTTCCTTTCCTGTTCTTTACCATTATTTATGTCAATAAGTACTTGCGGGCAACAGAATGGTATGATTGGCAGAGATTTTTTAGCCTCCAGCAAATTTTTTTTGTAATCACTCAGTAATGTAACCCTCACAGAGCAAGTCAAAATTTAGAATATATTTAAAAAGTTATTAAACCTTTCATACATGAAATTTAAAACAAGTAATATATAACTAACTAAAATAAAAAAGTAAGACCTAAATATAATTTAACTGTCTCTCTAACCATAATATATTTAGGTAAGAAACAACCATATGTGCTATTGTGGATCAAGCAGCCAACAAAAATACAGGTAGTTACATCTACCCAATGACAACTGTATGTCAATTTCAAAATAACCATTGGATAGGATATTTCCACTTTAACTTATTGGATCAACCCAGACTTTCTTCAAAGTCTTAAACATTGTATAATACTTTAGACGATTGTTGTTGTAATTATTATACTGTCAACAAGTTCATATATCCTATCCCACTGTGTTTTCAAAGTAGAGACAATTCTGGGAATTGGGCCGCATGAACCTATTTGATATTGACAGCGTCAAAGTACAGTAACACCTAAACAGGAATGGCGATTCATTGCTCTATATTCGGCAGGTTTCTACTTCAGCTACTAACAGTAGAATAACAATAAGAAATAGGTGTAAAAAGATTAGAAGAAACTCTCAGGAGATTTTCTTGGAACTTTACTATCCATACTGAAAAGGTTAGAGTACTATTAATTTTGTTTCGTCCAATTTCTAACTCATCTACTAGCAATAAAATAAGTGTGAAAAGGTGCGAGCATAAACTCTGACCATAAGTACTTTGAAATTTTGTTACATTTTATTTTGCAACCTTTATTTTCATTATATTTTTTTTCATTACTTACCAACAAGTATAATGTTACAGTACAAAAAAACAAATATAAAGCTTTACTGAAAATAAAATGTTTGACATTTAATTATGAGGCTTTTTATTTTTCATTTATTTTAACTGTTTATTATTATAAAAGTAACTAAAATCATAAAAATAGAAAGTTGTTAGGTAAGATAACTAAAGAAAAATAATAAAAAACCTTCATGGGGTATATTCGCCATAAGCTTCTGCATTACGCTGCTTGATAGGGTCATGTCAATGCCATGTTATTTCCAACTTCTTTTGGGGTATTTTTAGTCAGACATGGTTCAATGGTCAATAAAACAAAAATTAATTAATATAAATAGATTTACACTGTTAAAAGATTTAAGCTGTTTGGAATAAACACTTGTGGTTTCCTATTACAATTTGCAGTTATTCTAGAACAAAAAAGGTAATTTAGATTATTATCATATTTTTAGGATGGTTATGAGGTTGGTCAAATCCATCAACACCATATAGAGTTTTATTTAAAAAATGTTTGATGATTATCTAGACGGATATAGAGATTATGAAACTTGACAAACTTCAGATAAAGAAAAGTATTTTTAATCTTAAAATCAACATTACTTTGCACATTGGATAGTCAACATTCTGAAAGAAAAATTCATGAGAAAATCTTTAATAAAAAAATCTTAAAACATTATTCAAAAACCAGATATTTTGTGTATGAAATTTTTGCAAAGACTTTCATACATTTAAAAAAATTATAGTACAATTAGTCTCATAGATACTTTCCTGGTTACAAGCTGGGTAAAAGTAAGTTTTTCAATTATTCACTTTCTAAAACCACTATAATCAATAACTACAAAAACGCTTATTCCACTTGTCACTCTGTTGAGAACACTTTCATGCTCCATTTTTGGTAATGCTCAATAATATACATCATTGCTTAGCAACAAAATTATCACCTGATTGTTCTTAAGCCAACTATGGTGTTTATGTTGAATGCTCAATATTCATGTTGATTTGTTAGAAAGCTGTTTTTTATTCTTTATTTTTTGATAATTTGATAGTTTAATTCAAATGTCTGAAGACATTGATTGTAGCTAAAATCAAAATAAAATTTACCAAGTAGTGTTTCAGCTTATATAAGACTACAAATAGCATACAATTACCACAGTTATAGAGTCAGTGTTTAAAAAGTTAAGTGGTGAATAAATGTTAAGTAACAAATACTCTTTTGGTATTTTAACACGTTACCTACTCGGTCTTAAAACATAAAGAAAAATAAACATTTATTACTACCAAATATATTTTATCCTTTGTATAATCAAAAGAGTTGAAAATTTGTGTCGGAATGTCTGCACTATATTTTCTAATTCCTGACCAAGAATACAGTCAAAAGGCTCAAGAATGCTATATAATTCTCTTTCAGGTGCACAAGTATTTTTGTTTACAATAACATTTAATTTTTCTATGTAGTTTTTACTAAAAATGTGGTGATTAAAGAATTACTTTGAGACTGATGAAATAACTGAAGAGTAGGTGCATTTCAGATGTACAGACAAATTCTATAATTTTCGCTAATTATTCAACAATGGTTTCCCATAATTTTTGACGAGCTTTAATACTAGTATTGTATAAAAACTAATAATTATCTTTTTTGGTAAATATTATGCATCTAATATTCTACCTACACTTAAAGTAAGGTTTTAAATTACTTCCCTTCTAAAACCACTGTAACAGTATCTTTGTGGTAAATATTATGCATCTAATAATATACTATTTTATCATAAGAAAACTAGCTCACTCCTCATGCAGCTATTCTATTTCATGGGTAAGTGAATACATATAATTAATAAAGGCTTGATTGAGCTTGGTTAAACAAAGCCCACCAATTCATTCAAATATTATGATCACTGTGAATAATTATGTGGCATTATTGGTCATTACAGGGTTGATTTTTAGTTCTGTTCTATATTAGTAACATTTAGTTGATCAGAAGTTAATAATATCTATCAGCTAAACCTTGGAATAGTTGAAAAACTCAACTTTGCCCTTTCTTACTCTACATGAATATATATATAAACAATGAATGTTTTCTACAGAAACTAAATGAGAGCCTAGACTGAAGTTAAGGGAGAGCTTGGCAGTTATATTACTTACCTGATCAATCAGAATAGTCAGAGGTGGCCCTTGGTATTTTTTAACAAGATGAGTAGCATCATATTCTTTCCATGTTTCTTTGTCTTTCCCCAAATAACCAGTGAATGCTTTTTGTCCCCAAGGACACTCCATAGGATTGCAGATAGGTGAGAAAGCTGAGACACTACAATACTTTCCTGGGTTTTTCAGTGCACATATCAAAGCACCATGACCTCCCATACTGTAAAATAAACATCTGTTATATAACCACAAATCTATTTGTGCAACAAAAACTCATATATAGATACAACAAAATTATAAAGTAAGCTTTTCATAACCTGGTATCTGTAATCTCATATTACAGAAAAACTTGCATTCTAAAGCTAAATTATGAATTTTACATAAATAAATCTGCAGCTGAAGTTTGTCAAGCTGTGCACAAGTAAGACATTCACTGTCATTTCCCTGTCCATAAGGTGAAAAGAAAATTATTAATGTAAAAAGAATTATTAATCTTGTATTTTGTGGGCTGTTTTCCACACATTCAAAAGAGATGATGCATTTGCAAGTTTGTGAGTCAGAAACCTTCTATAAGTAGCATCTATTTCTTCTTTAGCTGTGATACCATCCTGTTACTAACTTCATATGACCAAATTGACTCTAGAGAATTGTTCTTTTTATCTGTTACATGTGTTTGACTATTAACTGCAAACTACTTGTACAAAAAATTGTAACACCCTCTGTTATTCAACTTTCATCACAATTTTGACATAAGCTATTATAACAGTAAGAACTTTTCAGTGAAAGAAACTTGCATTACTGAAGTTTTAATTTTGATTTAGCCCATGGACCACATTATTTTATTATTCATTTTTAAACTATTTAAAAATACTGATCCCATACAAGAAGAATATGACAGTACTCTAGGATCTGATTAGATTTTTCTTGTTAGAATTACACTGGTTAATTATAAAATGTATGAAGCCTAGATAATGACAAATATATCAGTTTTTGTATGAAATATTAAAGGAAATGCTTATTAACAAAATTCACCCACTAATATTTTCACAATCAATAAATAATGTTGTTTTACTAAGTAAATATTGATGCCTCACACCATCATGATAGAACTCAATGTAAGAATATATAAGATAGGTTGTTCTGCCTTTACTTATAAGCAACACTGGAATTTTAGGCACCTTAAGATAAACACTGATACCATAAAGTTGGCAAAAAAAAATGGTAAAACAGCATAAGAAAACTATCATACTCACCTGTTAACACAAACGTGCAAGTTTAATAATATAAACAAATATTTTCTCCTCTATAGAAACCTTATACAGAAAGTGTCACAAAAATTGAGTACTTTGTATAATTGTAAATGATTTCAATTTTTAGTAGTAGATATGCACTTTTATATGAAGATAGTCATTGTAACTTTGTAGATTATCAGATGAATAATTATAAATATGTTGTTGGTACTATGTCTCTGTTTGATAAAGTTAGCATTTGCCTTTTCTGAAAATGTATTCCCAAAAGATATTTACCTCCACACACAGTTCAGCTTTCTTCCTTGTGCATCTGCCTGAGAGATTTGCAAGCCATTAGCCTTGAGACTACTCCCACAAAAGCCCTTCACCAATAGGAGGGTGGCACACTTCCATGCACGATAACTCCCCTATGGACATGCACTTGTGGTAATTCCATTGTTTGAGGAGGCAAAAAAAAGAAGTACACCGAAATTGGGGAGGATTAGGTAGGAATGTGTGGATATGAATTTCTATTGGAAATATATTTTTAGGTAAGGAAAAAATTAAGTTCCTAGACAATAATTCACCTCATTACACAGTTTAGCTAGAATCCCACATTGAACTGGTGGAGAGGACTAGTGCAAATTTTACCTTCAGAATGAACCCAAAGGAAAACCCATAGTGTGTGATACCCAATGGGAGGGGCTTCATAGGGGTATACTCTTTGACAGGAATGGAAAGGGATGAAAAGACAAAAGAGCCTCACGTGTTGCAGAGATGGGATGAACAAGAACATGACCATCCAAACACTTGCACACAAGCAGTTGGCAAGCAAATAGGTGTAGTGTGATTGAGATGCATTCAGAAAGTACTGTTTCAAAAGCCAGCAAGCACAAGCCAAAGATGTGGGAAAAACACTTCCTGGTGCTGGCTATTCCCATGATAAGTCTAAGGAAGAAGTACATTCTGGATTGGACAGTTGAATAACTATATATATCACAAGGTTACCTCAAGTGGTCTTGAACACCTCATCTCGCAGTGGGTACTGGTAGAGTCAGGGTGGATTGTACGAGTGCATTCACTTATCCTGGCTTCATGCAGATTTTGGGTAAGTATACCATGGGAAGCAACACTAGCCACCTAGTGAGGTTCTATGAACAAAAAAATGGAGCTATAATAAAGAAAGTGGACTCACCTGTCTAGAGATGGTAGGTAGATTGGAGATTGTCAAATGGAGGAAATCAAAAACATTCAAGAGATGAAACAGCCGGATGGTGGACATAGTGAGTGACAAAAGTGTGTAAGGTAGTCCACATGCTTGCCTTAAGGATCTTATCCAATGATCTGCAAAAATAGGCAGCAAGAGAATGAGTAAGGTGACAATTTTGATAAGAAATGTAGAAGAGTCTGTGAGTTCCCACTTCCACTGAAACATGTATCAAAGGAATAGTTGATGAATCCATCCTACGAGGGTAGAAGAAGATAGGTCTCAGGAAGAAGAGATGTCTCATAGTACAGAGACAATGATGGGAGCACTGAAAAGGGAGGTACATGATCAGTAACATTGAACAACCCAAACAAGACATAATAGCCTGTCTAGGTTGAATGAATATAGAGGTGAGATATGAAAGGAAGGTAGATTTGAGAGAAAATGCAGTTACCTTTTGAAGAAGCACAAGCCTTACGAAACTAAGACTGATCTGAATAGAGAAGTATACATTTGCAAAAAGTATAAGAAAAATTAACTGCATAGATATTTCAACAATAGTGAACATAGGTGAGGAGGAAGACATATGTCTTACAAGAAAAGTGGTATAAAGAGCAAAAGGTCAACAGCTTGAATGGGTAACATTTGAGAGTGTACAAAACCACACAGAAATCCCACTAATGCATAGGAAGGCAAGGGACTCTGTGGAGAAGAAAGAATCGGATAAGGTGGAGAGAACAGGAGAAAACACTTTGTGGTACAGAGAAAGGCAAAATGTTGTGGATTAGGCCACCTGATAAGCCAGTAATGGTGGAGACTGACAAGCCATGGTCAATTAACTAGGTAAAGAAAGTAAAAAGATAGTATAGAGTAGGTCATTAGGAGAAGGGAGTGGTGGTGAATGGACTAACACCAAAAGATACACCACTTAAGTTGATAAAAGGAGGAAGGACAATAAGAATGAAGAAGAGAAAGGCTACACGAGTCCTGCTCAATGAGTGATATATCAGGCAAATCCCATACATGTAGATGGAGAGGCAATATCCTTTGATGAAACAAGGCTAGTAGCATGCAAATCTATCTGGCAGATACACGAGTAAGATAGCGAAACTTATTATTTTGTCAAGTTTTCAGTGCTGCTCGAAGAATTTCAAGGTGACAAACAACTTCAGATAAACTTTTATTTACTCCTCATGACTTTTTAGCTTACACCTTTTTCAAGGGTATTTCAAATGTTGCAGGTTACAAAACTGATTTTAAAATTATAGTAACCAAAAAAATAATATAAAACTACAACAATATAATAGAATGGTGCATGGAGAAGTGAGCAAAAAGAATTGTTAAACATGTTAGAGTTGCTGATCATAAAAGCCAGCTGCCTCGACAATACAGTCAGTAATACCTGTATGCATTCATCAGCAGAGGGGAGAGTAATGACAGCAGGATTAACCTACCTAAAAATTGTGGGAAAATTATTGCTGCCCTATGAGTCATTATCCACCTTCAAAGAAAAATAAGGAAGAAGGGAAACAAATTGATAGAAATAGGGAAATAAAAGACTGACTAGAAGCATACACTCAACAGAAAGACCCATTCCATCAAGATTAATATCACCCCAGAGTGGGCCGTGTCTGTTAAAGTCTCCCAAGATAAATAAAGGAAATGGCAACTGGTCAATAAGACCCTCAATGTCAGCTTGATCATAATCTTCTCCTGGCAACAGGTAAAGAAAGCAAATTATGAGGATATGACCCATGGAAATATGGATAGCAACAGTCTCCAGTGGTGTATGAAGTGGCACATACATGATGGGTGCATGCTGATCAACTAGCAGAGCCATATCTCCATGAACACACATCCATCACACAACATTTCTTTCCTGTACAAGGAAAATTGCCAAAATGTGACAGCATCAGCAGGTCTAAAGAAAGTTTCCTGCAAGGAGAGACACACACCCACTGACCCCATCCACCATGGGGTCCTAACTAGGGGATGCACTACATTATCAAACTAGGACAGTGCAGCTATACCAAGGATTCATGGGCAACATACCCAAACACCAGCACCAGACACAATGGCCACAACACCCATTGAGAAAGTCCAATTCTGAATCTCAGTTGACCCTAGTCCTATAGGACAAGCAAACTGATCCTTGGGAAGGAAGTCACCATAAAACCACTTGATTACAGGAATTCAAGGCCAAAGTGGTGTGTTGCAGTGCCCCAACACTCAACCACCAGAATTTTCTCCTCCCCTTCACGGGTCACCATGTGCAGCAAGCACATGGGTGGATGCTTGGCTCCAAGAGAAGGTAAACTATACAGAGAGAACCTTCCTCAGGAGGTCCCTCACTATGTACATGAAATACCAAGGGGAATTTGTAACTAGACACTGATAGTTAACTGTTCATTTCGTGAAAGATTGGATTTTGCATGACAATTCTTAGCTATATAAAATCCTGTCAACATTATTTTTAGGTTTCTCAATACTCTTTTCTCTAGTGGAGCATGCTCTGGGAGGTATGTGTTTAGAAGAATCAATGGTTACAGAAGTTATATCATGATTCATCCACACTATTATTATTATTACTGGGAGAAGAATATTTTTCATGAAATCTTAATTTGTAGAGGCATTGGTGAAGAGGTGAATTAATATTAAAAGTTACCTTCTTGGTGAGTTAACACAATAGAGCAAAATGAGGTCCTTTATAAAGAGGATGGAAATGCAGTCCTTGGAAAGTCTTAGATTATCTTTAATTGTTATCCTATCATTCAAATCATGATCATTTTAACTACTTACAGATATGACTTTCTTTTCAGTCATGCATGCTAATCTTTTAACTTGTTTTCTAGCCCAGTATTATTGTCTTCATACTCATTTTGATTGGATTTGGTTATCAATGATATATATCCAGCGAGCACATCAAAACAACTTCATGGATAAAATTTTAATCACTCATCTTCATCAAGCAATTAGATCTGGTTTTAATCTCCACATCATACACACCCCAGTAAAACACTGAAGGATATACTTACTCATTCAGCCTTCAATAACAACCATTCATGCAAATCCAGAAAATGTTTTATTAACCCTCTGCCCTGGCATCATTTTCTGTACATCATGAGGTTTTAGTGACTTACATTCAAGATTTTATTAAACAACTTTTTGTTTATATTATACCCATTAGTATAGCATAAAATCATAGCTAATAATCCATATTTTAATAGTATATGCGTATTAAGTTCTTAATTTTATAAGGCAATATTTTAAAAAATCCTGAATTTCCCCTTGTGTGAGAAATGTGACATTTTCTCTAGGCATCCCTTATTCTATATTTCATTCAACTCCCCTTCAATAACTATGAAATTTAACATAAATTACATACTATAAAATTTCCTTGCTCAGACAAAATATAATTTTTATAGCCTTCAATTTTATTTGGTTACAAAATACAAAATCAGATCCTTCTTGACACAACCACCTGTCACATTCTCTCTTTCAGGATTTGTTAATAGTTCTCTCATGTTTAATTCTATATTATGTATAACCAATAGAAAGCCAAGATTTTCATTATCAAATGATGCATTATATTATGTTGTTTCCTGAAAAGAGAACTGTCAATTTCTCTGTTGGTACAAGCTTCGTTCCAACGGGAAAGACAATGACTGGTTTGGATGAACTTGATGGCTTTTGTTGCATAGTTAGGAAGCCAGAAATATTTTGATAATTAGGGGAAATTGTCTGCTTTTTGCATGTTATTATTTTATGTTCTTTAGGGCATTACTACCATAAGTATAAAAAAAAAAGAAGACCCAGCTAAGTACTTTATTTCTTGTTTTTCATGTATATTCTTTATTTATCATTACAAAAGTAACTAAAAAGTAAAAAGAGGGATCTCTTTAGGTTAGTTAAGGCTAAATTAGGTAAAATAAATAATAATATCATAAAAATGTAGCTCGTGGGTAATGTATTTCAACAGCATAACGTGATTTCCATGTTCCCCAAGTGATTTACAACTTATAATGCCATGAACAGTAGTTAGACATAGTTTAAAGAGCAATAAAACAATAAAATATAAGTATAAATAGATGTATACTGTTACAACTTTAAAGTTACTTTGGATAAAGGAATGTTATTTTATGTTACAATTTGAAGTCATTCTAGAAAGAAAAAAAAGGATAATTTAGATTTATTTAGATTTTTTGGTGGTTATAAGGTCAGTAAAATTGACCAACCTTGTATAGAGTTAGATTAAAGAAAATAACAGATAAAATATAAATTTTTACCAAAAACAAATATTTGAAATGTGTTTAGGAGGTTTTACAGATTATGGAAGTGAAATTTGAGATGAAGAAAAGTATTTTTAATCTGAACAAGAAAATCACTTTGCACATATAGTAGTAAAAAAACAACTATATATTCATGGAGAAATATTGTTTTTAGTTTATTAAAAATGTGTTAGTAAGACTTGTAATGTTTACTGAAAGTGTGCCAAATTTTGTGAAGATATACATACTATAATAAAAGTTAGTAGTATCAAAACTATAAAGATTTTAAATGAGTACAAAGAGGCCATGTGGTTGGTCAAATCAACTGATCCCATGTTTAGAGAGTTAAGGCCAATAGCTTTAAGAAATCCTGCACACTTAAGAACACTGTCTACTTGTATTGTTGTAGTTTTATATTCCTTTTGGTTAAAATAGTTTTAAAATCAGTTTTGTAGCCTCTGAGGTCCAAATATCTTTGAAAAAGGCATAAGCCAAAATATCATGTAGAATAAGAAAATGCCTCTGTAGTTGTTTGTTGTCTTTATTGAAAAAAAAAGACAGCTGAACTCTGTGTAGGGGTGAATTATCATCTCGGAATCAGATAGTATGCATCCTGTCATGTTATTGTAGGAAATATGGAATAATTATGTAAATTTTGTTCAAATGTTAAAAAATAAACTTACTTTGTAAAAACAAAATATTTGTAATGGATTACAGAACTGTTATTATGGACCTCCTAAAAATAAAACTTTTAAAATTCCTTCTTTTTTTTTGCATGTGATCATACTCTGCAAGAAAAAAATTTAAAAGTTGTACAGAAATTATTCTATACATAAACAGAAACTTGCATGATGAATCTAACTTTAGAACAAAACTAGAGGTTGTACCTGTGTCCAAAGATAGACTGGCAGTGGGGCAGAGCTGGAAAGTTACCATTAATAATTTCAGGAAGCTACAAGGATGGAAGAAAATATATTTCCTTAATTATCACTTAAAATAATTATTGACGGTATTAAAAATATAATTTTTCAAAATGACAAAAAACAAGAAATTAAAAACACAAATTTTAATCAGCAAAAACATCTGCCGGTTCCTTAGTTGTATATATTTAACTCTCTCATAGATGCAATTAGTCACACCTATTTTAAATCCTTTTATAATATATAGGCAGATTAACTCCAATTAATCTGCCTTTCAAGCCTTTCCTAGTACTTCCTATGGACATTGCTTTAGTATATAAAGCTGAAGCACGTTCTTTAAAAAATAGCCATGAATAAATGTGTTCACAAGTTTTCCGTTTTTTCTAATATCCACTGCAAATAGAAAACTTGCTTTGAGCAATGATTTAAGGATTTATTCCTGGTATAATTCAGATAATTTTAATTAGAAATGATTAATCTCAAACCTGTAGAAACACAGCAGTATTATAATGAAGATTGGAAATTACAAAAATATTTGCTATCATAAACTACAAAACTTTTAAAAAAGTAACTAAATTTTAGTGATGTGTCATATACTAATGTATGAAATTATATAAATGTATAAAACAATATAATCTAAAGAAATATTTAAATTACTCACTTCTTTAGTTACATAGGAGTACATTTTATAATGGTTCTTCCACTTTTCTTCAGTTGCATCAACATAAAACCCAGCTCCTGACCCAAAGTCATAACTGTCATCTTCTCCTTCAATGTTCACACCTCCTATTTCAGCAAAGTTAGATATTAAAATATGTTACAACATTGAATATAAAAACACACAGAAGTGAAAAGAGCTGGCCCATCAGTGGATTTGCTATTTGAATACTTGATAGACCCATTGATTGATTGGTAAACAAAGAAAAGAAAAAGTTGACAATGGATGCTGCCAAAAATTACCTTCCTTCTAATCAACAGTTCAAAATTAGTATCAGTGGCAGATAGCATTAGTATCTTTGCCATAATAAACACAGAATAAGCAAGTTTGGTGGCAATATTTTAATTACTTGAACAGATGGAATAATTCAAAACAGAAATAATCAAAATTTCAGTTGCTGACATGCCTTTGAATAGCAAACATAGGCTAGATAACAGGTGGTCAATGTCCCACTGGGATGGTTGTACCCCATCCTTGAATGTGGCATGAACTACATGGAGGTCACAACTGCCAAAATTTAGCATTGTGCAGTAGTGCTTTCTTTCAATTTCCTCCTGCATCTCCTTGTAGAATTAACAGTTCAAACTGGGGCCATCCCTTGACAATTAGTGAGGCAGATATGTGTAAGAATTGTGGGTTTATATGTACAAGCATGAAACTTGGTATAGTTGTACACCATGGCCCAGAGAATATTTTTTGAAATAAAGGCATCATGAAAAAGGCCTATGTTACCTTTGGTGGCTAGTTAAAAAAATGGTTGCAAAAAATTTTGATGACATTGAAAAAAAAATTGGCATTATATTACAGCTAAATGTACTTAAATGTTGCCATACAATACACAAATATATCATTAAAAAATTGATCTTTTATTTACAATAAAAACAACAAACAATATATATCTAAAACTTTGATAAAGAAAAAAGCCAAGTTAGCAAAATATGGAAATGTACTATATAATTAACTTTAACTTCCATGTCAAAGAGTGACTGTTCTTTGTTCTCAAGACTTTATATTCCATGTGAATCACGAGACGGTAACCTGATCAACTTTTTTCACCATGAAAATCAATAATGTTGGTCATCGTTGTCCCTATTTGGTCAATTACAACTGGGATCCAAATCTGACTTGTCCAGAGAGCCATGCAAAGATCAAACAAGATGCCCAAGACACTGAAGTCATCATATTAGATGGAGCTGTGTTGGTTAACATTCTCAAATCTATCAGTGTTAAAACTTTTGATGAGTATGCACAAAAAAAAAGTCAGATGCAACATCCCGGTCTAGTGGACATAGTTTGGGACCAGTACTGTGAGAATAGTTTGAAATCTCAAACCAGAGGTAAGCATGGCAAAGGCATCAGAAGAGGAGTCAACAGATCCACCAACCTTCCTGGGCAATGGCAACATTTTCTTCGGCTTAATGTGAACAAGACTGAGTTGTTTGCCTTTTTGACAAAGCACTTCATGCATTTGGTAACCAACAAGCAGAAAGTCATCACAAATGGACCAGGAATTCCAAGCAATTCTCTACAGAAAGCTACTCACAAAGCCCTTGTGACCATTAGGAGACTGACAGGCAAATAATACTTCACCTAGCAGATGCTGTCAAAGATGGTTTCAAAAACACCTTCCTATGTATAGTTGACACAGGTGTGGTCGTCTTGGCTGTGGCAGCAGCAGCCAAACTTCAGATCCAGGATCTATGGATGGCATTTGGAACAGGTCAACACTTCCAATATGTTCCTGCCCATGAGATTGCTGCATCTCTTGGGCTGGACAAGTCTTGAGCTTTACTAATGTTCCATGTTGTGACAGTGTCATTATTCAGTACTAGAAAAAAAAAAATCAGTCTGGGAGACCTGGAAAGCATACAGAAGTGACCCAAACCTTTCTTGTTCTGTTTATAGGAACAACACAAACAGCTAATAGGGAAGTGACTGTACTCTAACACTTAAAAACCATCCTGCTGTACAACAGAATGAGCAATAAAGTGGGGTAAAGCAACTGAAGTTAACCTTTACATGCCTTCCCCTGACAACTGGGGATGGATTGATCCTTCGAACTGGACACCTAAGTAGGCCAGTTTGCCTGAAGCTACACTGCATCAAAAGAACTCATTCCCTGCAGTTGCAAAAAAGGTGGTAGAGGTTGCTGCAACTGCAAGAAAGCAGTAATAAAGTGCACTGCATTGTGTCAACCTTGTGGCAGGAAAGATTGTGACCTGTAAGTTGCATGGCATCACAGCCAATAACTGTTAAAGCTTATGTTAATTTACAATTTCATATTTTGTTGACTCAGCACTTTTTTTATTGAAGTTTTGAATACACATTGTTTGTTGCTTTTAATGTAAGTAAAAGAAAATGTTTTTGAATGATACATTTGTGTATGGCAACATTTAAATGCATTTAGATGTAATATAATGCTGATTTTTCAATTTCATCAAAATTTTTGCAGCCATTTTTTAACTCTCTTCAACACAGGTTCGGTCAACTTGACTGACCACGTGACCTCTTTGTACTTGTTTAGTCTTTATAGATTTAATACTTCTAACTTTCAATATAGTGTGTATATCTTCACAAATTTGCCAGTCCTCAGTTAATATTACAAGTTTTTACATACAAAAAATCTTATTTTTAAGTGAAGTATTTTTAGTAAAACAAAGATTTGTCCATGAATATATTAAGTATTTGTTTTGAATAGTCTGTGTCCCAAGTAGCTTTCATGTTAAAATTAAAAATACTTTTCCTCATCTAAAAATATCAGATTTGACTTGTGTAGTTTTAAAACTTCCTAAATAAATTTCAAATGTTTGTTTTCACCAAAGCTTTATATTTTATCTGTTATTATCTTTACCTTAATTTGGTTGGTCAATTTGACTGACCTCATAACCACCCAAAAAAATTCTTCCTAGAATGCCTTCAAATTGTAACATGAAACTACATTCATTTATCCTAAGTAGCTTTAAACTTGTAACAGTATACATCTATTTATGCTTAAATTTTATTGTTTTATTGTCCTTTGAACCATGTCTAACTACTATCTGTGCCATTATAAGTTCTAAATCACTCAGGGAACATGCAACTCATGTTACACTAATGAATTACATTACCCACGAGCTGCTCGCATGTGTGTCTCGTGAAACACTTTTATTATAATATTATTATTATTTATTTTACCTAATCTAATCTTAACAAACCTAAAAGGATCCCTATTTTTCCATTTTAGTTATTTTTATAATTATACATAATGAATAAACATGAAAAACAAGAAATAAAAGACTCAACCAATCTTCTCTTTTCTTGCTGTTGGTTTTTTGAAGAGAGTTAACCCTAATATTTGATACTAATGATAGTAATGCACTTAATAATTCTTATTTAAATAAATAATGCACCAAATAATATAGACTAATAACATGCAAAAAGCAGATAAATTCCCTTACCTCTCAAAATGTTTCTGGCTTTCAAACTATGTGACAAGAGCCATTACAAATTCAACCAAGCTAGTCATTAACTTTCTCACGGGAACAATGTTAGTATTCTGAGTGAAATTGAAATCTAACTGTTCAGAACATAAAGTTATACAGCACGTCATTTGATAGATAAAAACCTTGACTTTGTATTGGTTATAGATAATATATAATGAAACATAAGAGAGAACTATCAAAGAATTCTGAAACAGAGGATGTGACTGGTGGGTGTGGCAAGAAGAGTCTGATTTTCTATTTGATAGCTCTGTAACCAAACAAAATTGAAGACTATAAAAATTATGATTTATCTGAGCAATAACGATTTTATTGAGTAATTTATGTTGAATATTGTACTTTTTCGGGAGTGGTGGACAAAATAGGGATGACAATATGCTAAGAGAAAATGTGTCACCTGGGGTACACCAGTAGAAATTCAGGATTTTTTTTAATATTACCTTTTAGAATTAAGAACTTAAAATTTGTATACTATTAAAATATGGATTATTAGCTAAGATTTTATGCTATTCTAGTTGGTATAACATAAACAAAAAGTACTTTAATAGAATTTGTAATGTAAGACACTAAAACCTTGTGTCATGCGTAGTAAAGGATACCCGTGGCGATAGGGTTAAAATGGCTTCCAAAGGTAATATGGGCTAATGTCTACAACTGTGCCAAATTTCATGCTTCTATGTAAACTCACAATTCTTTGACTATGTTGCACATATCCCCAGGACTAAATTGAAGGATCTTGCTGCCATTTAGATCAACCATGGCATCATGAAAATGGGTTAGCATGTCTGTTGAGACATGGACCACAAAGACTGGCTCACAGTATCATGAAATGACTATTTCTTGTTCAGTAACCCAAGCATGAATGAGTATGCCCATCTGTTTAGATAATGTCATTTAAACTTTTGTCAAACATAGAACATAACTGTCTACATTTAAAATGAGGACCTAACAAACTGAATTAAGTACTTGCATTTCCTCTTGACACACAGGAACTTCGTGACATATTCTTGTCAGGAGACATGGTCTGGAATAATATGTAATTTCTTTCACAATAAATACATGTACATGTGGTGTTTATTCATTTTGTGATACTGACTGTGGAAAGGAACAGAAAAATCACAAGTCAAAGCAAAAAACTACATTCCTAAGTATTCATGCTCATTGTACGAAGCATTTTACAAGCATTTAGGACAAAAAAGAATACAGGCTGTGAGATACGTAGCTTTGTAGATTAACAACAAGTTTTTTTATTTTTTATTGTATATTATTACTATTTATTTAGGGTGAAATAGATGTTATAATAAAAGACATTTTGTTTCTGTTCAGAGTATTTGAAAATAAAATTAATAATCCTGGCAGTTAAATGGGTCATTATTTTCTGTGTTAATAATTACAGGCTCAGTGTTGACAGTGCTGCAATTCTCCAGGCATTCTCTGCCATGGTAAGCTGTAGCACCTTTATTGGTTTTTCAACTTTCTCTCACAAAAAAATTCTCCACACATGACATTTAAGGCTTTTGCCTCACATATTTTATAAATTTCCTGGTGATCATTTGGCTAGTCGAGATATATTCTTCCACACTTGCAATGTTGAATGATCTCTAATACAATGTAAAATGTGTTTTGTGACAGTCACTTTTGAACAGAAAAAACCGTGGGCTATACTTGTTACTTTTTGGCAGCCTGACAAAAAGGCCCATTGTGATTAAATATGTGCCATGCTGTGATAAACTTCAATCCCTCAGCTAAGCAAAACAAATATAACTGCTACTCAAAATGATGCCAGTGTGCATGTGCATACGTAACATAATTCCTGTTTCTGTGAATGGCTTCTAAAGATTGCCTGAGGATTCCCCTATGTTTATTATAGTCACCCGAGCACAAAAAGTCATTTGTTTTTTACATCATAAATAGCATTACTTATATAAAATTCCGATGTTAAACATGGAATATGGTAAATTTCAAGGCATCTGTGTTTTGAAGGCCATTTTGTGGAATTAAAGACTCTTAAGTAATTTTACAGGTTCTCAAAAATGTGCATGAACTCTTGTGAAGTATACTTTTTATTAATTTTGGAAACCTATGAACTTGCATGTAGGGCTTTGTCATGATATAAAAGGCTGTTTAGTTTACATATTATTGATTAATTTATTTCTGTGAGTGATAATTTTATTATTATTTAGTTTTTGTTATAATAAGAGTTAAAAGCAGACAATTGTAGGAAGTTTGGTTGATAATTCATTGATGTTGAGACTATCGAGCATCACGTACAATATACTGACATAGAAAATATAGAAGGCAAGCAGACGCTTAAGTGATAACGGTATAAATAGTGTGGGATGAGCAAAAACAGCAGACAGATAATAGCAAAAAATGTAAAGTTTCAGTCAAGGAAAATTTTGGCATGAAGTTAACTACCGTAAAAGTGATAGGGCTAACGACTGACATAGAACTAACGTTTAATATGTTCGAGTAAGACTAACAGTTGAAAAGGAGTTAATAATAATAATTTATTCCATCAAAGTGTGGTTCTAAAATAACTGAATCAGCCTAAATGCACTTTGACAAAAGGAACAGAAGATATTTAGAAGAAAGAAGACCAAATGATTACGGTAATTTGTGCTACAATTGTAAGTGAATCACACACAGAATACTAGTGTGATAGTAACAGGAAACTTGTCAAATGCAATTCTAAAGTAACTGAATAGGCCTAAGTGGACTTTTGACAAGAAGAAGATAACTATATATAGTGTTTATGATATGCCTATAATATCTATAGCGTTGAAGAATTTGTTGTACATACATTTAACCTGTTCCAAATATATATATATTTTTTAAAACAATGAAGTGTGCACTGTTCATTTATCGTTAACAAGTCACAGACACATACTGCAGAAGAATCCTAAGCCCAACAACAACATATTTATACTATTAAGAAATATAAGTAAAAGCCTTTAATTGACAGTTGGTGAAAAAGAAGAATAAATATATTTTAAATTCTGACAGTCTTAATTAAAAGATTTTAGCTGAATCAGTTATTATAGAGTAGATTTCATTTTCAAACATCTTTTTCGTTTCAAGAAATACTTATGAATTATTATAGCAAACTTAAAAACAGCATACATGTAACATGTTATATGTTTGTAAATTGAAGAGGTGTACTGTATTGCCCTTAATTAAAGACCCCTCTCTAATTATTGCCCTCATGGTATTTTTATAAGGCTTACCTTGTGTGACAGCAATAATAATGCAACGTATAATCCTCTACTATAATCCGCATTTATTACTGTAATTTTGATTTGACAAAAAAAAAACTATATACACACACACACTTATTAGCATTGAAAGAAACAAATTACACGAGAAAAATTAGCACCCCATGCAGTTTACAATGCCCCTAGGGACATTAGTTACGGCCAATACAGTATTTTAAAAATATTAAATCTAAACAATTTAATACTAGGATGTTAGTTATTTTTTACAAAGGCAAAATTTTTTGAAGAATACATATAGCTAGAATTTTTCTATTTTATCAAAATTCCTGATAATTTATAATAATAATAATAATAAAGCAGTCAGATTTAATGTTAAAAACATTACTTTAAAGCCAAAGAGCAATATCATATCAGGCTTTTATCATTAAAGTTTTTATGACTAGGTACAGTAGGTCCTCATGAATAACAAAAGTTGTAATAAGTAATATGTCCGTGCTTTTTAAGTCTGGCCTTTAAACTGTACTAAAACTACAACAGATGATTGAGAAATAGGTCCCACAACAATGAAGTGTATGTAAAGAAAAACTACTGTTCATTCAATGAAATAATTAATTTGCTCTTTTAATACTTCATTAAAATTTCATGGAGCCAACACCATATTTTTTTGCTTATTAGCTTCAATGCCAAACTGAACATACCTTTCAGAACTTGATCAAAATATTATTTAACATAAGTTAAAAATTAAAACTATATGACATGCATTTATAGAATTTTATTATTCTCTTGCATCTATTCTAGTGAAAATTAAGTTTAATAAGATTCAAGGACAAGAAAAAAGGAACACATTATTATCAAAATTAGGGATGGGTATCAAGTTGATTAACTTGCCAAAAACTCTGGAATCTTCTATTATACTAAAGTGTAACTCACGTGGACTAGTATCTGGGCAGACAATCATCACACCAGCTTCTGCTGCATATCGTTGTGCTCCAGCTTTCTGAATGAAATTTTGCTCTGTACACGTTAGCCCTAAAGAAATTAAGTCTAAAAATTACTACTTCAGCATAGAATTGAAAAACATGCTTATGTTATAATCTTAAAATTTGGTTGGCTTACAATTTGTAATAGAACACAGTTGTGATGATTTAGAAGTTGTATCAACCAATAAATAAAAATTATCTTTTATCACATAATTCAGATAATCCCTATATAAGTTATACGAGTAGTTTCTGACAATCTGAAACCTATAATAATTACATGTTATCTGCAAAAGTGATTGTTTAGCTAATCAACAGATTTTATGTATATTTCTAAAACTGTAGCATCCTGGTTATATCCAACCAGACCTACATATATATTTATATCATCTGTAAACTTAACTAATTTCCCAATTATGTTTCTATCAGTGTAATTAATGCAAATGAGGAACAGCAACCGATCAGAACAAACCTCTTGGACATATCATTTATAACATTAGTTCATTTAGATGGAGCTTCATTAAATAATAACTTTGTTTTCTCTCACCCAGTCAACTTTTAACCCATTTCATATAATTAATAGTTCACCCTCTTTCTGACTATTGTAATGTCTTCCCCAACCTTTTGTACAACACTTTATTAAAAGCTTTCTAAAGATTCAAGTAAACCAAATCAAATTCTTTACTCTCATCTGGATAAGAAGTAATATTATCAAAAAAGTTAACACTTTAATAAGGAAGGATCTTCTCTTTGTACATTATGTAACAATGTCATAATAATCACACACACACACCTAAGTTAATTTAGGTTAATATAAGGCAAGTTAAAAAGTCCTTACAAACCCAATAAATGGGATAACATTAATCACCCTCCAGATTTCTGGATCTTGCCCAATGTCCAATGACCTACCAAGTGGTTAAGAAATTTGGTCCTTAACCTCCTTTGCAACTCTAGAATAAATAGTATTACTTCCAAACCATTTCCTTCCAACAAATTATTAGTTCAAATTGATAAGAAAACATTTTAAAGCTGAGAAATCTCAGTCATCAACAAAAACCACCCCATTTTTCAAAGATCATATTCCCAATATTTTCTGCTTACTTTTAATATATCTAAAGAAATCCTTACTGTTAATTCTAATATTGCATATAAGCTTCTTCATAAGCCCTTTTTAATTTTTTGTTTTTATACAAACTCCCTAACCTCTGTAATCCTCTGAATCTACCATCCTGGCCATCTCAATTCATCTACCCTATACTAAAAGCTGTTGGTTCCTGAAATTTTCCTCATTTCTTCCCCTTTCAATTCAACTGGCCAATGAACAAAGATCACTCATGCCTTATAGCCTCAAAATTAGCTCTCTGAAAAGCTGGCATTAAAAATTGTATTATCTTTGATGTGAAGATGTAGCAAAACATCAACCCTAATTACACTATGATCATTCATACCAAACACCTTCCAACATTAACTCCAGTAACTATTCCTTATTAGATGTTAATAGACAAATCCATCATAGCTTCCTCCCAATTGTATCCTTAATGATTTGGTTATATTACTAATAATTGATATTACTAATCTAATAAAACTGAATTTTTTTTAAGAACAATTAAGTGAAACTTCTTCCAGTTCCATTAAAACTATAATAAAAGAAAAAAATGTGATAAGCCTAACAGTGATACAGTTTCATGTTTTTTCTGTAATTGTAAAATAAAAAAAAAGTGCTTTATCAATCACAAAACACAAGTCTGAAATCAGAGAAAAAGAGATTAAAAATCATAGAGATTAAAATAAATATTAATACATAAAATTCACCTGATAGCCAGTATAAAACAGGAACTTTCTTCTCCTCAGCCTGTGGTGGAAGGTATACAGAAAAATTCATTTTGCACTTCAGCTCTGAACTTTCATGACTGTACACCTTTTGGTATCCTCCAAAACAACGATTGCTTGAAACTGGGGTTAAAGATGACATGATTCTGGAAACAAAACTATTGTCAGTAAACTGGTTGTAGTCCTCTTTGGGCATGTGCTGTAGGCTTTAAGTAAAATGCAGAACACTTTGTTGTGATGATTGGTGGAACAACCTTCAGAACCAGACCAAACGCACTCAGATACTTTTCATAAGGTAGGTAAAAAGCAAAACATTTACATCCTAAATAATATTCAGAATAAAGCTAAGCTTTTAAAATAGTGTTAAACATTATGGGATATAGCATTGAATAACCTTCACAAACATGTTTTGATTTGTGACACAGAGAGTCCTTAAGTGATTGCAGTTTCAAAGATTGACTAATGAGATGTATTTAGTATTCAGTGTCAAATATCAGTATTATAGACTGTTATTTTTGTGAAGTGTTATCATAGTCTAAAGATTATATGTATGGATGGCCAAGGTACTCAGTAGGCACAATACAAATATGCACACTAAAATATCAAATATAATTTTAAAAGATGATTACCACTCACTTTCATCTGATTTTCTACCCAGCAAGCACAAAAACAAGGCAAGAAAGTGAAGAAACCATCGTTAAGATACCAAATGAGACAGTGACTAACCCACCAAATTGTTCATCTTTCTTCTTGTTTCAGTTGAGATACCTCTACAACTACTTTATCACTAAAGTCAGTTTAAACCTAAATCTACTCTACGTGTTTCTGGGCAGTGCATCATGTAGTAATTTTAAGAAATATCATAATCTGGTGTAAACCATGTTATCACTAGAAATCTAATGTTCTTTTTAAAAATGTTAAGTACAGGGTGAAACATGAAATACCAGCTAATAACAGATGAACATTATATGACTGTTACGTGTATAATACTCAATGCTTTGTACACTATACAATCAGTGTCTTTAGGAAGCCAACCCCTATATAATGTACGAAGTGAAGGAGTAAAAAAAAATCAATATACATGACATTAAATTTTATTATACACATTCATAGAATACACTAATCTTCAGTTGAGGAAAAAAACATCACCAAACAAGTAATATAAAACATTTTGTAAATGTAAGATGATGTACAGATGGCAGTGCCAAAAATAATGCAAACAAGAATATAGGGATGATACAGCTATATACAGATCATCCCTACATGACTTTTAATATTAAAATTTAATGTTAAACTGTGAAATGCATACTTGACTTTAATATTACTGATTGTTGGTATGCAATTTATTTATCATAATATCATGGTCATATCTGAGTATGAAGCAATGTAGCGTAACTAAGAGTCTAGGAGTTATGTACAAGGAAGTCAAACATGTCTTGATTATTACACTCTTTCACTACGAGACTGACTAGTGTTATTAATATTCATAGAATCAAACACACACTGCAGATTAGAACAGAATTTCTATTTAAATTTAGTAGTAGTCATGTAGTAAGTTCAACTTCAAATGTATTTGTACATAGCTTACAGAAGGCATTGCATCATCTAGTATAATGAAATTAAAAGAAACTGTAGCTCTCATCAGTTAGAATTTGAAGATTTTTTAATTCTAAATCTAATAGTAATATTGTTGGTTTTCCAAGGATTAAACTTTTTTTTTTGAGAAATTTGTATGTTATTCTTTTGAAGATCTGATGGTTCTGCATTTTACCTTGCCCAATCTTGAGCCTGTTGTGGTTACAATTACAATTCTTGTAGTTATATTTTTGTAAGTTATACTAACTTTGACCAAGTTCCATCTCATGCAACTTTCACTAACTTAATCAAGGGTCTCACTCATTTATCATATGATATTATTATCAATATTATTTCCCTTTCATTAATAAGATTAGAATATAATAAACACATGTCAAACATTGTTAAGAAAAGTTTGGACAATTACAAGTAAATACTTACCGGGCAATAATGTGGTAAATTTTTTTTAACTGTAAAGACTTCAAATTTAGTGTAACAGAATAGATAAAGGCCTGTCTAATCATGTGACCGTACAAATGCAACAACATTCTGTGCCCTCTATAACGACAGAAAAATATTCGATTCCATACACGTCATAAACCCTGGTGTCTCAGCGGCAAGTCTGAAAGTATATAACATTTAAAATCTGAGTTCGATACCTGCATTGGGCATAGCACAGATAGCCCATTGTGTAGCTTTACGCTTAACAGCAAAAACAAATACACGTCATAGTTTATTGCAGTTATCAGCTTTCACTGAACCTCATATTATTAATAAATGTAAAGCGATTTGTGAATATAATATTCCAATATTTAAGAACTTTTTTTCTGCAGATTAGCACTTATCAAGTTTTATATTAATTTAATATAAGTAGAGTGGGGGAAAAAATGCCACTATACATAGTTACTGCGTATAAGTCTACTTTCAGCCTTTATTCTACGTGAAGAAGACAGACCATTGTTCTGTCGAAACATGTGGTATGTTCCACCATCAATAAAACTGTTGTTTGCTTGTTTGTTTGTTTTGAATTTCGCGCAAAGCTACACGAGGGCTATCTGCGCTAGTCGTCCCTAATTTAGCAGTGTAAGACTAGAGGGAAGGCAGCTAGTCATCACCACCCACCGCCAACTCTTGGGCTACTCTTTTACCTACGAATAGTGGGATTGACCGTCACATAATAACGCCCCCACGGCTGAAAGGGCGAGCATGTTTGGTGGGACGGAGATTCGAACCCGCCACCCTCAGATTGCGAGTCGAGTGCCCTAATCACCTGGCCATGCCGGGCCCTGTTGTTTGCCTACGTATCAATGCACGATGTTAAAATAAATAAATATTATAGTATTAAATAGTCCTTACCTTAATTCTGATGTGTTGGAACACAATTAAAATTGATGAAATATTACATTGCACCACCTTAAATAAGTTCACACAGCAACATATCAGCCATTACTGCCGAATCCCAGCCAGCGAAAGGTATTAGGCGAAAGGAATCGTCGGCAATGGATATAAACGTTATAGTGTGGTTGACATATCATTATACACTGTAATTTGCTTTCACTCACATGTTCTTATTTATAGTTATAAATGTATTTGCCCCCCCCGGTGACTCAGCGGTAAGTCTGTGGGCTTATAAAGCTAAACATCGGGGTTTGATACCTGCAGTGTGTAAAACATAGATAGTCCATTTGTAGCTTTGTGCTTAAGAAACAAACAAACTAATCTTCTACTGATGACACTGTAGTAGCTTCATCCGTTTAAGAATAAAAACGAATATCTGGCTGGTTCGCAAGTTTTCTGTTCTGAATAATGAGAAGGTTATTCAAGAAAATCATAATAATCTATATTAATATTATACTTGTGACAACACATTAGTATTAGGCCTATTATATCTTTAAACACTACATTCTTTATTTAGCCCCTTAGGGATTTTCAAGAATTAAAAGAGTGAAAATTAATGATATTGTTACGTCTCCGCTTGTTAATCGATTTTCCGTAAATTCGTTCCGACAAAACTTTAGCGACACAAGTTCTTACTTAATAAAACTGGTTTATTCTTTCTGAATATAACTTTATGATACACTTGATTTCAACATTCGCGCTAAAACAAACGCTATAACGAACTTCAACAATACTCTCTGACTGCAAATCAATTACTCACTACCTACACACACATTGTCGCGTCACGTTGTGAGCGTCTTATATATATACCAGACTAACATATATCTAGTAAATGCTAGGGCATTCATGAAGGAACAGGATAGTTCTAGAAACATGGCGTGACACTAGTCAC